GAACCGCACTTGAGATGTAGCATTTCTTGGCTTCAACTACTAACCACTCAAAAGCCCATACCCAATTCCTATTTTCAAGAGGTTAGAACAATAGGTTGGCCTTGGGATAATCTATGGTGGGGAAAATGCTTCACATAAATCCTATATGCAGTTTCAACACAAACTATGCATTAATATTTAAGAAACTGATAAATTGGGCTCCTGATCACTCGAGTCACTTGATGTTGAGCGATCCTTAGTTTAAGAGGCCTTTGAACCAGGGACTCATCTTAATTGAACTCGACATAATGGATTCACTAAAGAACTGTCCTTCAGTAGAACAGGTGATTCCCAAGTCTCAAATGAGTCTTTTCAGAGTAGTTGAGTACAACCGTTATGCAACTTTTGGGATTTTTTGTCAGGACCCCCCCGGCACCCCCCGGGTCTCTGTTTTGGTTGATTTAGGGTTCATTTAGGGCTATTTTAGTTCCAAATTTGAGCCCCAAATCCATTTTACATGCCGTTCTATTCTCAAAACAATTATTAGCATCAACAACTTTTTTTTTTTTTTTTTTTTATAAGAATCCAAAATTGTGGCTTCTATTGGAAATCTACTCAATGAGGCTAACGCCAACAAGTCATTCGGGGTTACTATTTTTAAAGTCATAGGGTTGATCTACAACAAGTATTTGCTATAACTTCGTTTAATTTTTTTTGTTGCTTATGTTTTCATAATATATATCTTGAAAAGACTGTAGATTTGCATAAATTTAGCCCTTATATCCAGTTGTTACGATCAACATCTACTTAATGAATGTTCGTCTCAATTTCAAACATATGTAGAAGTCCTTCATAAAACTAATAAAAAACAAATTCATTACTATAAGTTTTTTGTATGATTGTTAGCTTCCTGGTGTAGTTATCGTGAACTATTTATGATTTTTTCTAGAATGTAATGCTAATTTTCAAGTTGTCCTCATTATTTTTTCTATTTTTCTCTTTTTGTGGTAATTGTCTTTCATATGTTGTATTGTTTGATGGTTTTAGTGACAGAAATTGCCAACCAAGTGTTTTTAATTGCCAACCAAGTGGTTTTAGTTTCTGCGGAAATAGTGTTTCTCTGATAAAAAGATTGGGCTTCCCCAATTTCTTGAGCATTCTAATGCTTTCTCATATTATTGTAGTGCAGTCAAGGCTTATTTCATCCAAATTTTGGGAACACAAAACATTTTTTCATTGAAATGCTTTCTGGTTTGTTTTATTTCTCTTCATAAATACAGTGGTTCAGATTGGTCTACCCTTCCATTAGACTTTTAAAAATATGTTGTAGCCAAAATAAGATTTTATAGGATTATAGGTCTAGGGTCTAGGAGTATAGGTCTTATGGTCTACGTTATATCCCCGGGCAAGGTTTTCTTTTTAGTTTACAATTTTTTTTTTTTTTTTTTTTGAATGGTAAGTATATTTCATTGAGATAATGATAAAATACAAGGATCAGAAACTGATAGTAAAGAAAGAAAAAAAAACGAGTTTAGAAGGAGAAGACGAAATAGCAGAGATAAGACGAAGGGAACAAAAAAGATAAAAAGAGTTATGACTAGGGTTAAAGGTGATGTTGTCATGCTGCTATTAGAGAACATATGCTGTCTATTATCAATCCCAATAAGGAGAAAAATATACCCATCAAAATATACATAATTTTGAGTTGGAATGGGATAAAAAAGGAAAAATACTAAATGCTTGAAAATAATATCTATTTTAATATATTTTCCTATTTCAATTTACACCACCTCCTTCATACAAGATGCCATTTGAAGCTCTCACACAAACTCAATTTCCTTGCATGATTTCGTAACTGACCAGACTCTTTCCCAAGGAAAGCAAAGAAGCAAGCCAACAAAAGAAATGGAATCTGCCCCATCTTTATTGAGGAAACATATTCAGCAACAAACAATAATCTAGCATCCAATGCCACTGGAAAACACAAAGTAGAACACATCCCTCTTACCAGAGTCAAAAGAGCTGTACATTTTACAGCCCTTTTGGCACCAAAGGGTCAGAACTTTACACAAATAAAACACCACTATAAAAAAAATACAAAGTTCCATACTATAGAAGACAAAGAAACATAGGAGATTATAGAACCTCAGCCACACATAGACTCAACTTACACAGGCTCAACTTACACAGGCAAGTTCAACCTTATTACCACATCACTAAGGAAATCAAACAAACTCCCAACTTAGATTGGGGGATGAGAGAGAAGAATAGGAAGCAATATATTAAAAATGGGAAGAGAGAATGAGAGAGAGAGAGAGAGAGAGAGAGGGAGGGAGGAGAAGGAATAAGAGGAGCACTCAAGGGCACACGAAGCCGGGGGGGATCGTCTTTTGACAAGCACTGATCAAGAGAGAAAGAGCAACAGGCACTTCTACTTTGATGATACCGAGCACATTGGCCTTGATAGCGGTGCAAAGGCAAACAGCAGCTTCAAGGTCAGCCAAGCCATAGAGGAGAGGGCAGCACTTATCGCCTGAGGGCGGGCTCCCGATCACCACATTGACTAGGCCGCTCAGCAAGTCGGCGCACACTCCAAGCTTCAATGCATCCTTAGGACAGGAAGGGTACGCATAGGGCGGGGGGTAGTACAGGACAGGCGGTGCCTTCTTGCACCCGCAACATGCGCTCGCTGTGTTGCTCACCAAAAACATGATGCTTAGGCATAGTGCCAAGCTTGCTACACTCCTCTCACCCATCTCTCACTCTGCTACTTTTTCTCTCTCTTTCTTCCTCTCTCTTTGGTTGGGAATGAGGAAATAGGAGGGGGGTTGTTTGTTCTTAAAAAGGAGGACTTGGAGGTGTTGTTGTGGCCACAATAGGCCACTGATAGCTGGCACTAAGAGACACACAAGGAGAAGAGAGAGTTTAGAGAGAGAGAAGAAGAAGCCAAGAAGATAGCCTGGCCTCTCACTCTCTTTGTAGTGTGGTGAACTGGTTGGGTTGAGTGGTGCTGGTGCGACACTGAAGCTGATATTTCTAGGTCAGAGTAACTACATGAATCCCATATTTGGACAACATATCTAAAATGCCCCTAACAATTTAACATACAACAGTTTTCTCCTTCTGGGATCTTAAACCAAGAGCTTGAAACAAAGTTACCTCTTTTTTTGTCTTTAGGAAAAGAGGTAGGATTGTTCTCAATAGTTGCTGAGGGGAGTACCTCTAATAATATCATTAATGGTAGTTTTCTCCTATTTTGGAGCACATTGGTATCCAAATCTTGCTCTGTAAAACCCAAGGTTTAAGAAAAACAGCGACCACATGGGAACCAGCCGATCTGGATACTGAACCTGAGTGGCCATCCCTAGTTCTACTAAAATATCAGGAAACCCCGGTTCACTCTATGAACCAATTCTACTAGAGAATTGGCCAGATCTAGCCCCCACCTTTATTTTCTAATTTTTTTCAATTTTTTGTTCTCTAAGTTTTGAAATTTTTATCATTCGACTGAATCACCGATCTAAACCAACAACCTACCGAACTTGACCGATTTTTTGGATGGGCAATTTGGGTCATTGATCCTTGCTTTTAAACCTTGTTAGAACTTGATATAAAGAGGATGGACTCATGATTTTTATGTACTCAAGGGACAGGATTGGAATCGGGACGTCATGCTGGACCCACAAGGTCCCAACCACCGAGCTACTACCCGAATTCCAAGATACAAGTCCTTAGAAACAAATACTTTAAAAATCAACTTTAAAAAAATAATAAAAATAAGCTTGTTTTATTTATAAAATATTCCCCTTTCAATACTTTTGAGAATTAATGCCAAATTTATAGAGAAAAAGTAATATTTCTAAATCTCCAACCAAAAAGTTCTATAGAATGGGATTCTTGAAGGTACAACTTTAAATGGCTAATGACAAACCCTTAAGGATTGATTCACATAACAATATGTGAACATAATGAGATAACTAAACACTTCTGACGACAGTTAAGTCTATGGTTCTGGCTTTTAACAGCATTTGAGGTTTCAAGCACAAACACTGCATCATGATCCCATCAGTGGCACGTGCCTTCCATCCATTGATGAAGTTTGTTTGCCCCAAAAGTTGGCCACACATGAGTACATCTTTGTTACGTTTGTCGATACTTTTGTCCAATCCGAACATAATCGGGCTGGCGAATAAAAACTAAGGTTTGACAAAAATAAAAGAAAAACTAATAGTGCGGAAAATTAAAAGAGCAAATATAACGATTTATCTAGTTCGACAAATTGCCTTCTCTCTCTACAAAGCTTTCTTCTGAAAAGAAGAAAACCAAAAGTACATGAGGCTCTTCGCCTCTCCCATTCCTAATTTTAATTAAATTAATGAACCTTCTCTCTTCCATATATTTAGGTAAAGTTTCTCCAGGATTTACTAATAATTTCGAATTGAAATTCAAATCTTGAATGATTTGAATTTCAAATGTTGGGAGTTTTTAATATTTTCGAATTAAAATTCAAATCCTGATTTAAATTTCAAATTTTATATGACTGTACACATTCTAATTTAGTAGGATAACCATATTACATCTTCTATATTTGTTACATAAATCCCTGCAATCATGGTATTGGAACCTCTTGTACTTTCTACAAATACCCCACGTTTTGGGTGATATGATATTGAAAAATCATTCCATTCAAATTGCTCCAAATCTTGACATGGTACCAGAGCTTTCAGCTTGCATCCATTAACCTTCTCCAAAGATTTGGTCGTGCAATTATTTTATTTTTCTCGTTCAAATTTGCTTGCATAGATTTTACATTTTGATCGTGCAATTTTTTGCTGCGTGCTTCGTTTTTTGAATTTTGCTCACGCAAAATTTTCTTTTAAGCTTCCTTTTCCATTCAACAAAAGCTTACATCTATCACTCTCTACGTTTTACTCCAGCAAATTTTGGTGCGTGCTCCAGCAATTGAGCTTTGCTCTTGCAAAATCTTAGTTTTCTTCAATAAAGTTTACCTTTCCATTCAATAGAAAGCATCTATCTCTCTCTCTCTCTCTCTATGTTTGCTTCTCTAAATCTACAAATATCTCTTAGGTCAAACGTCATCTAATGTGGTTGTTGTAATATTCTCTTTCTACCTAAGTATTTTTTTGTGTGGCATAATATCACACAACCTACAATTTAGAAAACTCCACGTTGTTGTACTTCCCCTTTCTTTAAAGTTTCGTGAGCCATGAGTAACAACACCATGGATTCTTCGTCTGAAAGTCAACATCCTCAATTACATTTGACTAACACCGTTGACTTTTGCAAATGCTACATGCAAGTAGTTCAAGTCACTTGGCCAATCTCGCAGGTAATCTTTGTTGCTCTACCTTTTCTTCATTCAATGATACCTGGTTCATAGACAGTGGTGCTACTGACCATATTGATTGTTCTCCATCATTTATTTCATCTATAGAGCCTTCATTACCCACTAATCCTGTAAAACTGCCAAATCGTAATTTTTCACCTGTTCTTCGTATTGGCATTATTATTCTTTCCGAACGAATAACTTTGCATAATGTTTTGTGTGTACCATCCTTCTCATACAATATACTTTTTGTTCAAAAGCTTACATCTAATATACAATGCTCAATAACTTTTTCCTCCAACCATTGTACTTTTCAGGACTGGTTATCAAGGACGACGATTGGAGCGGGTAGAGAGCGCAATGGGCTTTATATCTTTCATTCACCCAAAGCCATCTTTGCATCCCCAGTTCACAATTCAATCCCCATGGATATGTGGCATTGGTGCCTAGGTCACCATTCTCATGCTCGCTTACATTCTCTTATTAGAAAACACTCAGACATTTTTTCCTCTAATAATTGGCATTATCATATATGCCCTAGGGCCAAATAGTTGTGACTTTCTTTTCCTAAAAGTACGACTTCTACTACTACCCATTTTCAACTTATGCATGTGACACATGGGGAGGTTATGCAACCCCATCTCGTTCAGGAGCACATTATTTTTTAACTTTGGTTGATGATTTTAGTCGTAGCACTTGGATTTTTCTAATTCGATACAAATCTTAAACGAATCAATATTTAAAATCTTTTTTGCCTTGGTTAGAACTCAATTCCATTGATCAATTCAGTCCATTCGCACGGACAATAGAACTGAGTTTTTCTCCAAAGATATACAAAATGTTTTTCAAATAAATAGTATGCCTCAGCGACACTCTTGTACTACAATACCCCAACAAAATGGAATTACTAAATGTAAACACCGTCATCTCCTCGAGGTTGCACGGGCTTTACGCTTTCAAGCTAATTTACCTCTTCCTTTTTGGGGAGATTGCATTCTCACAACTATATATCTTATCAATAGCTTACCTACCCCTATTTTAAATGGCAAAAGCCCACATGAGGCTCTTTTCAACTCTCCTCCATCATATAAACATTTAAAGGTGTTAGGCTTCCTTTGTTATGCTTATAACATACATCATCAATACAAATTTGACATTCGGTCATGCCAATGTATATTCATTGATTACCCTCATGGTCAAAAAGCATTTCGTTTATATGACCTTGATAACCACAAAGGTTTTACCAGCAGAGATGTTGTTTTTCATGAGCATTGCTTCCCATTTTTGGAGTCTTCATCATCCCCAAACCCATCAAACATTGTTATTCCACAACCATTACCTGACCTTCCCATACCCAATTGATTCATCCCACATTGTTGAGCAGTGTCCTTCATCTCCAACCTCTGTCACACCTCCCTCACCATCTACATCACCACTTACACCCCCAAATGTCCCCCCTACATTTCGACCAATCTCGCTAACCTCCTAAACATATATAAGATTATCATTGTTCCATCATTGTGCATTCTCAGCCTGCTACAGCTTTTCCTCAAACAATTTAAGATGTTCGATATCCTTTAAGTTTTGTCATCTCTATTACAGACTTTTAGCCTCTTGCAAAACTTTTGCAGCTACAATTTCTACCACAACTGAACCCACTTCTTTTAAACAAGCATCCACTTATCCAAATTGGAGAGAAGCCATGAGCAAAGAGATAACTGCATTAGAAGCCGATAACATATGGTCCTTGGTTGAACTACTTCCCGTCAAAAGAACTATTGGTTGCTAATGGGTCTACAAGATAAAATACAAAGCCGATAGGTCTATCGAGCGTTACAAGCCTTGATTAGTCACCAAAAGATATAACCAGAATGAGAGGCTTGATTATCATGAAACATTTACTCACATAGCAAAGCTTACAACTATTCATTGTCTTCTTGCAATTGCTGCTATAAAAAATTGGTCTTTGCACCAATTGATGTTCAAAATGTTTCTTTGCATGGTGATTTACATGAAGAGGTATTCATGAAGATACCGCTGGGTTTTTAGCTTAAGGGAAAGCATTGAGTTTTCCATTTGAATAAGTTCCTTTATGGACTTAAACATGCTTCTAGGCAATGGTTTGCCAAATTTTCAGACGCTTTACTAGCAGTAGGATATTTTCAAGCAAAGGCGGATTATTCTTTATTCACCAACATTAATGGCAATACATGCACATATGTCCCGGTCTATGTAGATAATATCGTGATCACCGGCAACGATATTAATGCCATTAATACTATCAAGACCTTTCTCAAAGGTCTATTTCATATCAAGCATTTAGGTCCTTTGACATACTTTCTTGACATTTAGATTCTTCATTCTAAGAAAGGAATTCTTCTCATATAGAGGAAATACACCGTTGAAATTCTTCAAGACATGGGTTTTTTTGCTGCAAAATCAGTTGCTTTCCCTTGGAACAGAATTTAATATTGAATGCCAAAGATGGACCTCTTTTAGATAACCCCGCGCCTAATCGATGGTTGATTGGTAGACTTATATATCTCACAATAACAAGGCCAGACAATGTCTACCCTGTCC